TGGCGTTGAAGCTCAAACAAAGGTTGTCTTGAAAACAGGCCCAAAATGGCCTGTGCTAAAACCCTGGTCTCGTGCCTAAGTTTCAGGGCAGGTCGGTCTTATGAGGGCCTGAAAATGGCCGTCCGTTTCAGGCTGAAAAGACTCAGGGCCTGGAGGGCCCTGTTTTAGGCTGAAACGACACAGGGCCTGTAGGCCCTTGTTTTCAGGCTTTCAGGGTGAAACGACACAGGGCCTGTAGGCCCTTGTTTTCAGGCTTTCAGGCTGAAAACGACACGGGCCTGAAAATGGCACGCGCAGCCTGTTGCAGGCGCAGGATGTAACAGGGGAGGAGGGGTTGTCGACTAGGTTTGACACAGCGATTTTTAGGGAAGTTGGGACTCAGCGATTTTTATGGAAGTTGGGGGAAACCTACCATCCAAGGGTCACGAAATTTCAAACTGTTGCTGCTGTGCTTGAATAGCCATCTATCAAGACATACCAAGGATGTTGTGGTACACAAGAACAGCGGTGTATGACCAGATGTCAAATGCAGTGGATGCTATCACCTTTTTGAGGGCGGCCTGTCAAGGTTCGTTTGTTTTCACCCCTCCCATGTGTTGTACAGAAGGCCGGAAAGGTTCTGGAAGTGTTTGAAAAGGATGAGAAATTTTTGCAGTGCTCTGCTTCCATGGTTAATGCTTGCTGTTTGGAGAAGGCACTGTCTGTAAGTTTCAAGTATGTTCTAGTTCTTGGAAGGACCCTTCTTTTTTAATTCGATTTGAAGAAGGGGAAAGTGACTGATTCCATGCATGCTTGACGTCTTCCTTCGTCTCATTTTTGAGCCTTGTAAAGTGTATCAGGCTTTCTAAAATGGCATATTTTTACGGGCCAAACTATGTCCCATTCTGCAAGGAGCTCGACCAATGTCACGGTAAGTGCGACTCCTTTCCTTTCTTCTTTTCTTTTCTTTATTTTTTCTCTTTTTGCGAAGAATCATGCCCTCGGCCGTGCTGAGAAGGCCCTGCACACCCTAAGTGAAGGCGGGCCAGGAAAATGCAAGCCAGCCCTAAGTGCAAGGAAAATGAGCAATAGCGAGATGACAATGACCAGCATACACAATCACATTGAAGGCCAGATAGTATCACTGTATCCAGAAAGCAGAAATGCACCAATATAACACCAATGAAGAATCGTAACACTGAAAACCAATGTCAATGAGAGCTGGCTCTCGCCACCACCAACATGAGTGTCCAGGCCCTATCTCCTACTTGGCGCTCGACGCCCAGCCTACTCCCTACACAGCTACAGTCTGCCTACTGATTGACGATGCAACTGTTGACATCAGCAGCCCACGAAGTACTTGAAGATGTCGCCCGTAGCAGACCATCGCCAATACCAGGTATGTGCCCTCACATCATCATCATCATCATCCTTCTCTCTCTCCCTCGTCTTACACCCACGTCTTCCCCCTGTACACCCGAAGACCACCCCTGCGCCTCACTGTACACCCGAAGACCACCTCAGCTATGGAGGCTGGGCGCTGCCCTTGGCAGCGCCCTGCTCCCTGCACGACCGCACGCGCTTGCACCTCGCCTCTCAGCGCCAGCAGCAGCCCACGAGCGTCCGCTCCAGCAGCGTTGCCACTAGCAGGCAGCGAGCTCTTTCCTATACGGAAAAGAGATGGCCTGCCTTCGCAGCCTGGCTGCCCTGGGCCGGGGCCCAGAAGCTTTTGGTAGGGCCCAGGATGCTGCGCCTCTGGTGCAGCTACTGGGCCTCATTCGGTTGGGCCTCCCAACTGTCTGTGTATGAGGCTGCTAATCTCGCCCAGGGCCTGCGCTTTCGGAAAAGCCTAGAAGGCCTGGCAAGTTTTCTCGCTGCTCAGCCTGTGTTTCCTTCAACCAACTGGCGCGACGAAATTGCCTGGACCCCAAATGCGAAATTGACTGCCGAGAGCTCCTCGTGATTTGTTAGGCCCGCCTTCACTTAGGGCAGGCGCAGATGCAACAGGGGGGCCCTTAGGCCTGCCGAGGACCCAGATCCTCGCATAAGTGAAGGTCAGTGTGATAAGGGCTCCGGGTGGTTGACAACAGCCAGCTTTTGTAACCAGCCGGTAGGCCCTGCCCACAAGTTGGTTGCAGAGGCTGGGACTGGGACTGAAGCAGAGTCTGGGTGTGGCCTCCCATCCAGCACAAAAGTCTGGAGGCCGCCCAGACTCACGCATTCGAGCATTCAGGCTGAGGCGACCAGAGCCAACACTGCTGAGTGCCCGAGGAAGGAGAAGCTGCACAGTGGCAGCAAAGGGAGTGGCCGCCAGCCATAGCTGGCTGGTTACACGCTTGCTGGATGGCGGAGGTGTGGGGATTAAGGTGAGAGAGAAGGGAGGGAGTGGGAGCAAGGTGCCTACCTGGTGCGATGAAGGAAGCCCGGGTGAGCAGAGTCTTCAAGCGGCACCTTGACACTTGGTCAGAGTGTGACATGTTGATAGGCTAAGCTGGTAGGAGTGTAGGAACAGAAAGGGAGATCAAGCCGCCAGTGGGAGGATTACGTTGTGGTTGTTTTGATGATTGGAGGTGGTGGAAGAGCTTTGTTTATCAAGAGACTTTGGTGCATTGCTCGTTCCTATTTTGTTACATGCTGCGCCTGCAACAGGCTGCACGGGCCACTTTCAGGCCCGTGTCGTTTTTAGCCTGAAAGCCTGAAAACAAGGGCCTAAAGGCCCTGTGTCGTTTCAGCCTGAAAGCCTGAAAACAAGGGCCTACAGGCCCTGTGTCGTTTCAGCCTAAAACAGGGCCCTCAGGCCCTGAGTCTTTTCAGCCTGAAACGGAGGGCCATTTTCAGGCCCTCCTCAGATCGACCTGCCCTGAAACTTAGGCACCAGACCAGGGTTTTAGCACAGGCCATTTTGGGCCTGTTTTCAAGACAACCTTTGTTTGAGCTTCAACACCAGATTCTGGCACGTTTTGGCATTGGCAAGAGCAGCCTCCTGGACGGGCCAGCACTATATAAGACTGGCCTGCCCTGCAGGGACTTCCCAGGCATTTCACGTGCAGTTCAGGAGGCAGGAGGTAGTCTTCAGGATTCGGCAGCAGCACTCTGGAGGAGCGCTGCAGTAGTAGTAGTAGCGTTAGCAGTAGTCTTCAACGCTGGGCGCTAGTAGGAGCTAGAGTAGTACTGGAGAGAGAGAGAGAGATTGGACGGAGGCCAGGGAGACTGACCTGCAGCGCCATAGCTCCAGCTTCGTCTTCGAGGTACCTGCAGCTTGGCGCCATCTTCACAGGTTAGTACCTGGCACATGAGAGAGAGAGAGAGAGTGAGTTCTTCTTCTTACTCCTCTCAGTCCACCATCTCCCTCTCACCCTCTCACTACCTGACTTCACTGCATCAGCAGACTATGAGAGAGCGGGCTTGGTGACATTTGGATCCAGACTCGATATTGGGCTTCAGACATTTAACTAGGGATTATCTGGGACTTGTACCGAAGACTTGGTGTTGACGACATTCCCATCTCCCCCCTCTTCCTCGTCTGATCCCCCCCTCTTCGTCTGTGTATGGTCTGGACCTGGCGCATTCTTCCTGTGTGTAGCGCCAGGCCCCTTCACACCTTGTGATGAGGATGACGTATGTTTGGTCTGTATTGTGACATTGATTGGGCTAGCCATTGGTATTCTAGCATTCTGCTGCACTGTCTTATACTACGTGAAAGAGGTCATTCTCGGTCAGGTCAGGTGTTACATGCCCAGTTGGGCGATGTACATATAAACCGAGGATCCGCAATGTGATAAAAAGGACTGAATGGACAATGCACTGCAAGTAGAATCTCAACAAGCAATGTGCATTCCGATACATACAAAAAAATGGTGCTTGATAGCGCAGGGAAGACTTAGATACAAATCCTGACCTGACCGAGACTGACCTCTTTCACGTAGTACAAGATAGCGAAACAGAATGCTAGAATACTAAGGACTAGCCCAATCAATGTTTCGATGCAGACTGAACTACATCATTATCATCACGAGGTGTGAAGAGACCTGACGCTATACACAGGAAGATGGCGCCAGGCTCTGACCATGCACAGACGAAGAGGAGGGGAACAGACGAAGAGGAGGGGGAGAGATGGGAATGTCGTCAACACCAAGTCTTTGTCACGAGTCCCAAATAATCCCTCGTCAAAATGTCTGAAGCCCAAAAGTCGAGTCTGGATCCAATGCCACCAAGCTCTCTCTCTCTCTTTCTCTCATAGTCTGCTGATGCAATGAAGTCGGATATTGAGAGGGTGAGAGGGAGATGGTGGACTGAGAAGAGGAAGAAGAAGAACTCTCTCTCTCCCGTATGCCAGGTACTAAACTATGAAGATGGCGCTGTGCTGCAGGTACCTCGAAGACGAAGCTGGAGCAACGGCGCTGCAGGTAAGTATCCCTGGCCTCCGCCCAATCTCTCTCTCTCTAGTACTACTCTAGCTATGGCGCCCAGCGCTGAAGACTACAGCTAACGCAACTAGCGCCCAGCGCTGAAGACTAATGCTAACGCTACTACTACTACTCGTGCAGCGCTCCTCCAGAGTGCTGCTGCCGAATCCTGAAGACTACTGACTGCCTCCTGCCTACCCGTGAAGTGCATGGGAAGTCCCTCTGTACTACCTCGGCCTGCCTCCTGACTGCCTCCAACTGCCTGCAGTTGCAGGGCTGGCAGACCAGGAGGCTGCTCTTGCCAATGCCAAGCTGAGCCAAGGGCTGGTGCTGCAGCTGTCGTGGGAACAGGCCAAAAATAGCCTGTTCCTAAAACCCTGGTTCGGTGCCTGAGTTTCAGGGCAGGTCGGTCTCATGACAGACCGAAAATGGCCCTTCGTTTCAGGCTAAGAAGGCTACTGCCATTTTTAGTCTGAAACGACACAGGGTCTGTAGGCCCCTGTTTTTCAGGCTTTCGAGCTGAACAGACATGGGGCCTGTAGGCCCTGGTTTTCAAGCTTTCAGCCTGAATTTCAGGCTTTCAGCCTGAGGGACGCAGGGCCTGGAAAATGGCCCTCGTGTGCAGGCGCAGCATGTAACACCCCCCCCTCTTTATGAAGTCAAGCCGGGGCGAGGGCGAAGCTGACGATCTGAAGGTGGAACCTGGACACGGGTGCGGCGTGGAGCCGAAGATACCGGCTTGCCTTGCATCTTGCGTTCGTAGCGTGCGAGAACGCCTACGGCTGTTGCTTGAAGTTCCGCACGGGTCAACCAACGGTCAGCTCGGTGTGTGCAGTATGCAAAATGTACCAAGTACTCGGTTGGCCTGTTGCCGTAGCGTCGCTGGGAGATGATGTCGCCGACCCCTTGAAAACCGTCCATAGAGGGTGGGTCTTGCAATCGTCGCCCGGGAAAAGCGTCATGTTCCGCTGGCGTGTAAAGAGCCAACTTGGAGCAATGAAAGACCGGGTAGACAGGCAAGTGGGCGGGCACCTGAATGGTGAAGGAAGGTCCCTCGGGTGCATCCCCAGCGGATGCCACGATCGGCCAGGGCCCCATCCATTTCGGAAGGAGCTTGCGAGAGATATCTTGTTCAAGGCTGAATTCCGCAGCAGAGACCCAAACGAGATCACCGGCGCGGAATGGGCAAGGAAGACGCTGGCGATTGGCCTGTTGGCTCATGCGTTGCTGCGTCTTGGCCATCTGGTCGCGTGCCTTGACAAGTAACTCTTGCATCCGACGCAAGAAAAGAAGATGGTTGTCGCTCTCGGCCGTTCGTGGAATGATGGTGTCCAACGGCGAAGTGACCGGCAAGCCGTGGTCGAATTGGAAGGGCGACATCCCGATAGTCGGGTGGATGGACGAGTTGTAGGCCAACTCGACATCCGGCAGCCGCTCGACCCAATCCTTTTAGTCGGGACGGATGAGAGTGCGAAGGAGAACCTGTGCGGTCTGATGTGCCCTCTCCGTTTGGCCATCGGTTTTGGGGTGGCGAGCCGAACTTGGCTTGAGAGATGGGCCCCATCGTTGGATGAGCGCCAACCAAAAATCGGACATGAACCGAGTGTCACGGTCGCAGACGATTTCCTTGGGGTAATCCTTGGTTCGAATCCAACCCACGTAAAGAACCTCGGCCAACTCCAGTGCCTTGGCATGATAGCGGCAAGGCAAAAACATGGCGAACTTGGTGAGTCGGTCGACCACCGTGAGAATCCCATCCACTCCAGTCTTGTGCTTGGGGAACGGGCCGGTAATGTCCATGGCATTCGCTTCCCTTCGCCTCAAAGGGACCGGTAATGGTCGTAACTCACCGTACGGACGATGGTTGCGGGATTTGCAGCGTCGGCAAACCTCGCATGACTCGCAATAGCATATGACGTCGCCGAGAAGGCCGGGCCACCAAAATCGCTCGCGAAGTCGGCCAATCGTGCGATTGACTCTAAAGTGTCCGGTGGCGGGAGCATTGTGGAACTCACCAAGAAGCCGTGTAGGCAAGTGACGGTCACTCGGTGCGAAAAGAAGGTCCTTCCCCCGTGTGTGGACAAGCAAGTACCCCTCTTGTATCCGGTAGTGAGAAGGCGCCGGATTAGGAGAGGAGCAATTCACGTACTTGTCGCGAAACTCGGGGTCGGCTTGGTAGCCGCGGATGAAGCTATCCCGCAGGTCATTGTCGATCTCGAAGGTTGAGTAGACCGCGGTACAATGATCCGGACGCCGTGAAAGAGCATCCGCAAAATGGTTCGGCTTCCCCGGAATGTGATGGGGAAAGAAGTCGAACTGGTCGATGAAAGTCATCCATCGAGCGATGGTGCTGTTGACGGTGTCTTGGGTCTTGTAAAAGACCAACGGATTGTTGTCCGTTACCCATCGGAATTGGCTTCGACCAAGGAGGAAGTGTCGCCACCGCTTGAGCGTGTGGACGAAGGCGAGGAGCTCCTTCTTGCATGCGTCGTCAATGGAATGCACGACTGGCACTTTCTTGCTGAAATACTCGACCGGGTGCCAATCCACGCCATCGTGTTGCTCGAGGACGACACCAATGCCATAGCCAGATGCATCTGTAGTGAGGCGCGTAGGCAAAAGCGGGTCGTATATGCGCAAGACCTCCGCAGATAATAGCGCGGCTTTGAGAGCCAAAAATGATTCTCGCGCATCCTCTCAGAAGTCAAACGACCGATCCTCGCATTGAAGCTTGGTCAAGTAGGCCGCGATCTTCGAGTAACCCTTGATAAAACGCTGGTAGTAGCCGGCGAGGCCAAGGAACGAGCGGACATCCGTGACGTTCCGTGTCTCCGACCACTCTTGGATGACTTGAATCTTGTCCGATAGTGGACTGATGCCCTCCGGTGTGACAAAGTGACCCCAGTATTCCAGCTCTTGCCGGACAAATTCACACCTGTCACGGTTGGCCTTGTACTTGGCGCGGCGGAGCGTCTCCAACACTCGTCGAAGATGCCCAAGATGATCCTCCAATGTCCGACTATAGACGAGAATATCGTCTAAGTAGACCAGCACGAACCAGTCCAACATTGCACGAAACTCGTTGGTCATTGCCGCTTGAAAGGTCGTCGTGGCGTTGGTGAGGCCAAAAGGCATGACCACCCACTCAAAATGCCCGTACCGCGTCTTGAATGCGGATTTGTAGTGATCGTTCGGCTGGATCGAGATTTGATGATATCCCGATTTCAAGTCCAACTTAGAAAAATACTTCGCGCCGCCCAAGAAGATCGTCGATGCGAGGAAGAGGCCCCGCATTCTTGACAGTTTGCGCGTTGAGCTTGTGGTAGTCGATACACAATCGTAGATCCTTGTTCTTCTTTCGAACGAAGAGAACTGGTGCTCCATATGGGGAGCCACTAGGGCGGATCCAGCCCTTGGCCAACAAGTCGTCGAGTTGTGCGCGGAGAACCTCAAGCTCCTCCTCGCTCATCGGATAGATGCAACCTTTCGGCGGCACGACACAGGCCTCAAGAATGATCTCGTGAGAGATCGGCCGATCCGGCACCACACCGGTAGGTGACTCGAAGATATCGGCGAACTCGTCCAGCAACCTCACCACCCGGGGGTCCGAAGACAAGTCCGTGGGTGAAGAGTCAGCTACTGCGACGGTCCGTAGGAAACATAGGTCGATTTCCTCAGGCTGCTCGTAAGCGCAAGTTGCCCGGAATGATTTGGCCGTCACCACTTGGCACCGAATCAAAGGGTGCGGAAGAGGAATGGTACACGCCACTTCGGCGCCGAAGGCGTTACGAACGCTAAGAGTCCGCCGGTGGAAGTTGACTGTGTGATCTGCACTTGCAAGCCAAGGCATTCCCAGAATGATGTCGAAGTCCGTGTCCAAAATGTTGAACGTCACCTGTTCACATGCATGAGGTGTGAAATACACCGGTACGGCCTCAATGTAGAGGTCGATGAGTTGCTGCGTCCTTCCATCCGCCAACTTGATCGTCGTCGGGTTTGCCTTCCTTCGAACTTGTGCACCAAGGCCAGCCATTTGCATAAAGGCTTGGCTCATAAAATTGCGAGACGCGCCGCTGTCTGACAAAGCGCTACAGGACGCTTGCCCAACTTGGATGCGGACATAGAGTGGAGATGCGTTGTTGTCGTCGTACCGCTGATTGCGAAACTCGCAGGCCACCTTGGTAACATACGCAAGGATGTCCCCCACCGCGACTTCGTCATCCGTTGGCGAAGTTGGTGGTGCATAGAAGGATAAGTATGTGTGGAGATGAGCGCATAGTGCTGCGCATTGCGGTCCCGGCAAGCAGTCCGTGGTCAGGAGAGGAAGACATGCAAAGTCCTCGGACATGAGCGGATCCAATACCTCTATGTTGAACTCGCGCGCCGAATCCCGTGAAGAACCACTTGAAGACGATAAGTTGCCGCTGCCGGACGGAGAAGATGTTGCACACACGTCTTGTCCTTGAGCTTGAGTACCCAGTGTAGGAACGAGCCGGGCAGCATAGTCCTCAAAAGAATAAAGAAGAGGACTATCGACTTCCACATGTGCCTCGGAACAAACGGCGGTCAATGCCGGTCACCCGCGAAGTGACCGGTTCCGAAGGCGTCGAGAGTGTTGTCGAGTAACTCCCGGCGGTGCTCAGTTTTCCGATTTGCCCTTGCTTTTCGACGGGCAGGCCACTGTCTCATGGAGATCGCTGTTGCACCATAGGCAATAGTGGAATCTCGTGCGTGCTTTGTACGCTGTTTCGGAGAGACCGAAGTGGGCCCATGGGGCTGGAGCTGCTGCATCGGGCCGGGGCTAGATGCAGTGTTTGTCTTCGGCTTGCCGCGTCCTCAGCCTTTGCCGGGGCGGCCACCTTCCCGGGCGGCTGCGAGTCTGTCCCCTTCATTGGCAGACACAGCCTCGCTAGTTTGGTCAAACGGCGTTGCCGCCGCGACCACGGCCACTTTCGGTCGATGCTGGTCTCTGCTCGGACCTGGCGCAGACGAATGCAGGTTCTTAGCCTCCTTGTTCGTGATAATAATCTGCGCGGCCTTGTCAAAGAGTTTCGCCATTGTCGTCAAGGTGTCCTCGACGTGAGTCAAGGCATTGCTCAATGTCGGACACGACCTTGAGATAAAATAGTGGCGGATGGCTTTGAAGCCCATTTGGATGTCTGGGACGGATGTCAAGCGTTGGTACTCGGCACTCCAGTCGACGCTCGGCAGCGTGCCTTGTTCGAAGACCATCAGCTTGTCCATTGCCTTGATCTCCGGCGGCTCTACTTGGAACCGCTTATGCCACACCGTCTTCAGATCATCCTAGCTGATCTTGGTATGCAAGTCAGCAACTACCACTCCGTACTTGGACAAGAGATTGTCCAACCATGCTTGGCACGTGCCTCCTGAGCGGGAGTATAAGTATGCGTGGTGCTTGTGTTCTTCGACGTAGTGTAGCTGCAGCATGAGCTCAAACTTGTGGAACCATGGAATCGGATTTGTCTTCGTCGAGTCGCAGAAGATCTCCTGCCCGCCAAACTTTGGAGCTGTCTCGCGCGGTTCCGAACTCGAGTTGTTGGCGGCAGTGCAGATCTGCTGCTCCAACTGTTGCGTTGCAGTTTGCTGTAACTAAACGTCGTCCCTGAGGGAGCCGACGTCCATCTCCAATGCTTCGAGGCGATCGGAGGTGTTGGAAGAGCTGGCATCGGGGGCGGCGACAAGTCGCTGCTCCAGCTGCCGGAGCCGGCCGTGGACTTGAGTCAGCGCGTCGTCGAGGCTGTGGATGTCCTCCTGTTGTGTAATGCATGTTGCCAGGAGGTCCATGAGATGGGAGAGGAGAAGAGCGATCTTGTTTTTGCTATCCTCCATCTTGCCATTCTCGGCCTCGGCCCGCCAATCCGCTACCATTGTAGCAAATTTTGCTCTCCGCTAAATATATTCTCACCCCGTTGAACTCGTTCTTCATCAGCAGCCTTTGCTGCTGCCTCGTCGTGCTGGCGCTGCTGTTCAATTGCCAGTAGACGTGCCTTCTCGGCGTCCTCTGCCTTCTTCTTTGTTGCGGTTGCTGCTGCATCCGGGCCTGATAGGCCATGTCCGTTTCCCCGGACTTCTGGTCCATGACGGCTGTTTGTGAGCGCAAAAGCATAGACCAGGCCAGGGCCTGCTGACGTGGTACTCCCTGCTGCTGACGTGGCACGGTTGTCGGCTGATGTGGCCTGCTGACGCGTCCTGCTGATGTGGTCCGCTGACGTGGCCTGCTGACGTGGTCTGCTGACGTGGCAACTCACCAATGCCACCGCAGGGGGTACCCGGAGACCGAGAGAGAAGGTAAGACCAGAGGGGGCAACAACATAGGTGGGGAGGGGTGGTTGGGAAAAATCGCCCAGATAAGGAGCAACTAATCAAAAAAGAAAAGTTTGAACTTGTAAAAAAAAAATTCGAGAAAAAAATAAAAAAATCCCGAGTTTTGCAAGTTCAGTAAGTCTCCCAACCTCCCTTGAAGTGCGAAATTATCAATGAGAAAAAAAAAATTGAAACTTCAGACTGCCAATGATTTTCCGAAAAAGAAATACAACTGCGAAAGAAAAAATTTCCGAAAAGAAATCAAATATTCGGACTTACTCAGATGAGAGTATTCGCAGTTTGGAAAATGATAACCGCAGGAGGGATTTCCCGTACCGTTTTCAGAAAAACGAATTTCGGAAAAAAAATATTCTGAATTTCCAAATAACGGGAAATGCAACAGGAAATCAAAATTTTCGAAAAGAAGGATATTCCGGATGTTCAACAACAAAATTTCGAATTTTCAGAAGAAAAACGAAAATGGAAATTTCAGATGTTGCACTATTGCGATTTTCCACAACAGAAATAGCGAGAAAACAAAATCCAAGAAAAGAAAAAATTTCGATTTTCGGCAGTAAGGTCAAAATCGTGATTTTGGGGGCTAACTTGTGTGCTCTTTTTTTTTTTTTTTTTTTTTTTCCCGTTTTCGGTTCCTACTCCTTCGGCAAGTCATAAAGGAATACAAGTGGACCCGCCGCGGTTCCGCCCGCGGCGAGAAGGGCGAAGGTCGTGAGAGGTGAGGATGGGGGGGTAAGGTAGTAGAAGTTGTACGCACACAACATAGGACATGGTTAGCAAAAAAGAAAGAGTTTTTTCTGTGTTATGTGTTGTGGCCAAAAACATTGTCCTGTTTTTTCTCTCTTCTCTCTCTGTCTCTCTTAGTGTCTCTCTCGCAGCTGTTCTCTGTCTCCCCCCCACCTCTCTCTTTCTCTGTCTCTCTGTAGTCAAATTGGACATTTGCACCTGCAAACATCTGTCTCCGTTTGTCCCCCTCCGCCCCAACGTATGCACACATCAAGAAGCAGCAGTTGGAGCTCTCTCTGTCTTTCTTTCGGTTGTCGTTGAGCCGATTGTGGAAACATCCACCGAAGAGCTTGCTGGCAATGTTCGTTGTTGGCGAGCCTCATGTGGAGCGGCTGGAGGAGTCTTGAGCGTGGAGAAGTCGTAGAGCCCTGTGAAGGATATCAGTCCTGTAGACAGGGAAAGGAGGGAATTGGGATTGCAGTCCACAGTGATAGACAGCGATGAGATCGCTAAGGTACTCCCAGGTGCGTGGGGCGTGTGGGATGTTGTAGATGGGAATTGTGTGGTAAGAGTTGAGCATGTCGTGGATAAGGGCAGTTGCATGTGTACATCCCCACGGTGCGAGGGGGCGCCACCAGTCTGGATCTGTTTCGCGCGTGGGAAGAAGGATGGGTGGAGGTGTAGGTTGTGCTGAAGTGATGAATGCGTATTTGTGGTGTGCGTCGAGAATACGGTCGTGTCTGTATTTTAGTAGCCCGGCATGAGAACCTGTAGTACGGTAGTGGTCTCTGGTTGTGATGGAGGGGGTGGGTGGGGGTCGATTAAGTTCTTGCTCTCTGTTGTGTTTGTATGCAGCGAAGAAGGTGTAGAGAGAAGGGGAGAAAGCAGCATGGTCTATGAGAAGGAAGTCTTCCCATAGAATTTGGTCGATTATGTGTTCAATTGTGTCAGTGCGAAGGACATGATGCCAAGCATCCCATTTTGTGTACTCATCAGCGCTGTCTGTAGGGGTGGAGTGTGGTTGATAGCGAAGTTGTGGTGCGGGGATATCAAGTTGGCTAAGTGTAAGCTCATCTAGACCATGTTGTTCGATAACTGAGGGACCTGATAATAGCGACGAAGGAGTTGCAGTGGTTTGTCGAGACGGAGAAGATAGTGTCAGGTCTGGAGAAGTAGATGGTGTTATATGTATGGTGGGGGAAGGTTGGGAGGATGTATCCGTCGGCGTGGTAGAAGCAGATGGTGTATAGTCAGAGGATGTAGTTTTGAGTTTTTTGGGAGTTGTTGGCGTTGTTGGAGCACCTGCACAGAGGACAACGAAATGCATGGAATCATATGAGGAATCTGAAAATCAGGCATTTGTATGGACAGATTATGCAAGAATTTCTTTGTATACAATATTTGTCGTTTGATCAAAGCTCAATTGGGAGGGCAAATCGAATGTGGGAGGGGTTACCAACACGAGACGCGGCAACGTAAAGCTGGCCATGGGCAAAGGCTGGTTGTCGGAGGTCGATGCCTGCATATTTGATTGATTGTCCTTGGGATTTGTTTATTGTGATTGCGAAGGCTGGACGGACAGGAAATTGTCGCCGCTGCCATGGGAATGGACTTGTTTGATCGGTGACTGAAAGCAGAATTCGTGGGAGTAGAGCGGGTTTGAGTGATGGCAAGATGCGCGAGTGCAGCAAGCGGTTGTTGGTTATAGAGTCGAGAATCAGCCGCGTGCCATTGCAAAGACCATTTCTCATCGCTATGTTACGCAAAAGAATGATGGGAACATGTTGTTTTAGGTGGAGAACATGTGGTGGTAGTGAAGGTAGACCTAGAGTATTAAGAGTGTCGATAGAGATGTCGATAGAGATGTCGGGATATGTATCGTTTGGGAGGAGTGTGTCGGCACTAAGGGATGTGATAGGAGAGCCAGGAAACTGGTCAAGGATTGTTGAGTTTAGGGCCGAAACAGTTTGATTTTTTGGCGTTAGAATAAGGCGTTCGGCAAGCCATTGTGGGTTGTGATAGTTGGTTGTAAGATTGGGAAATGTCCAGCCAATGAGGTCCATCGTTCCTCCATGGAGGCACAGGTGAGATGGAAGGGTAATTTTGTTAGGCGATGCCGGGTCCGGTTGCTCTAGATCGCCATTGCCGAGTGCGAGTAACCATTGAGCACACTGTTGGGCTTCGGGAGTGTTGTTCAGGGCGAGAACGCGCATGTTTTCAGTCAGGTGCATCGTTTGGAAATGTTCCCAAAGCGGTGAAGATTTTAGACATGCAACAATTGTTTGTGTGCGGTTTCCTTTGGTAACAACAGGCAAGATTTGCCCGAAGTCACCTCCGAGGACCATAACTTTGCCACCAAAGGGTAGTGTAGAGGAACAAATATCTTGAAATGTTATGTCCATGGCTTCAACCTGGTATCTGTTTATCATAGGAGCTTCATCCCAGACAATAGTGACTGCCATGCGAATGAGGTCGGCAAGCG